AAAAAAAATGAATTAATTCCTTTTAAACTGCACATATCTTATTTGTAGTGCAAAAAAAACCCTTTAAAACAATACAATAATTAAAATAAAGAACAATTTTAACAAATATAAACTTATTAGTATTTCAGAGGGAAGTGTGGGCCTGCTTTTGGCTGATGAGATAGGATTGTTGTTGTTGTTTTGTTGTGTGCTTTCAAATAATATCAGACTTAGTTTGACCCTGAGCAAGGGCCGGGTAAATGACCTTGGAGGGCCGTATCTGGCCCTCGGGCCTTAGTTTGAGGACCCCTGGACTAAGGGTTTAATAAATGCACCACTGGAGCAATGGCTGGCGAACCAGTGTATTTTAAGTTGCCATGAAAGTAGGAGTTGCAGCACAGGTAGCTGGCCTGATGACATCAGTACCCAGAAAACATATGCCATTCAGTAGCAGCCAGCAGTTAGCCAATGGCTGAGCCAGTACTAAACCATCACCCTGAGGACCTTTTTTATCAGCTGCCCCAAGACTGTGGAATAACCTGCCAGAAGAGCTCCAACAACTAAACGAGTTGTTTGAATTTAAAACACATCTGAGGACCTAACTCTTCTGGCAGGCTTACCCAGTCAGTTTGAAACATTAATTCACATCTTATGTTTTAATCTTTGTTCTGTATATTTTAATAGAAATATGTTTTAGTAAGTATTTTAGAGAATGTTTACAATGATTATGTGTTTTTAACTATGTTGTAACTCATCTCGAGCCACAAGGAGAGGCAGATAAGAAATAAAAATATCATTATTATCATTATTAAACTCCATAAATCGATATCCTGCACACCAAAGATATTCTGCTTGCCTCCTTTTTGCATCTTTAGTGTTGAGCAACTTGTATACATCAAGGAACAACAATTCTGGTTACATTATTTCAATTCCAAGTGATAACACAATAAGATCATACTTCTGCAACTCCTTGTGAGCATAAGGCTAACATCTACCAGGAGTGCTTTGTGCTTTTTCTGCATGGTAGAAGGGGGTTAGACTGGATGACACCTGAGGTTGCTCCTATTGTTATTATTACAAGGGCTGGATGGCCATCTGTTGGGGTTCCCTGATTGTGCTTTTACTGCATGGCAGAAGCGGTTTGGATTGAATGACCCCTGGGGTCTTCCACTGAAATACTGTTAAGTTTATATAGGTTAAAATTTGTCTTCATTTTAAATATTGCATTGTTTTTCCTTTTTCCACTACAAACGAGATATGTGCTGTGTGCATAGGAATTTGTTCATTTTTTCACAATTAGTTCACACATTTGCCACTGGCCCAGCCTGTCTGTCAAATTTTAAAACGCAATACAGCCCATGTCCAAAAGTTTGCCGATATGGCGCAATGGGTTAAACCAGTGGTTCTCAACCTGTGGGTCCCCAGGTGTTTTGGCCTACAACTCCCAGAAATGCCAGCCAGTTTACCAGCTGTTAGGATTTCTGGGAGTTGGATGCCAAAAACATCTGGAGACCCAGGATGAGAACCAATGAGTTAAACCCTTGTGCCGGCAGGACTGGAGACTGATAGGTTGGAATCCGGGGAGAGCGAAGATGAGCTATTTCTGTCTGCTCCAACTCCTCATGTGGGGACATAAGAGTAGCCTCCCACAAGGATGGTAACACATAAAAAAAATCCAGGCATACGCTGGACAATGTCCTAGCAGACGGCCAATTCTGTCACGCCAGAAGTGACTTGCAGCTTCTCAAGTCACTCCTAACACGAATATATACACACATACACACAAACATTTATTGGGGCTTCTTAAGAAACTTTTGCTTCAAAAGGGGTTCCATAGCTGAAAGTTTGAGAACTCCTGTATTACACGATTGTCGATAATGGGAATTGGGCATCCACTGATCCTGATATCCACTGGGGTCCTGGAGCCAACCCCCACCTCCATAGAAGCTCAAGGTATAAATGGGTTCAGGGTGTTGCTAGTGGAGGGGAGCCAATTATTATCAACACAATCGTTATTATTGCAGACCTTTCCCTATGGATCGTGCGGGGGAATAGAAATATATTGAAATATGACGATATGATTTGATCGCTACAGCACAAAATGTTGCTTCCCAGGGTGCATCTACACTGCAGAATAAATGCAGTTGGATACCACTTCAAGTGCTATAGATCATGGCCATGGAATCCTAGGGACTGTAGTTTTCCTCCTCTACCAAAGAGAGCTGATGGCTCACGAAACAACAAATCACATCACCCCATTGCCTTGAGCCACTGCAGTTCAAGTGGTGTCAAACAGCATTCATTCACTCTACAGCACTGTTTCTCAGCCTGGGGGTCGGGGCCCACGAGGGGGTTGTCAGAAGGGTCACCAAAGACCATCAGAAAACAGTATTTTCTGTTGGTCATGGGGTTTTTGTGTGGGAAGTTTGGCCCAATTCTATCATGGGTGGGGTTCAGAATGCTCTTTCAGGTGGACTATACATCCCAGCGACTACAACTCCCAAATGTCAAGGTCTGTTTCCACAAACTCCACCAGTGTCCACATTTGGGCATATTGAGTATTTGTGTCAAGTTTGATCCAGATCCATCCTTGTTTGAGTCCACACTGCTCTCAGGATGTAGGTCAGCAGTTCTCAACCTGTGGGTCCCCAGGTGTTTTGACCTACAACTTCCAGAAATCTCAGCTAGTTTACCAGTTGTTAGGATTTCTGGGAGTTGAAGGCCAAAACACCCACAGGTTGAGAACCACTGATGTAGATGAACTACAACTCCAAAACTCAAGGTCAATGCCCACCAAACCCTTCCAATATTTTGTTGGTAATGGGAGTTCTGTGTGCCAAGTTTGGTTCAATGCCACTGTTGATGGAGTTCAGAATGCCCTTTGATTGTTGGTGAACTATAAATCCCAGCAAGTACAACTCCCAAATGACAAAATCAATCCTCCCCAACCCCACCAGTACTCAAATGTGGGTATATCGAATATTTGTGCCAAATTTGGTCCAGTGAATGAAAATACATCCTGCATATCGAATATTTACATTACAATTCATAACAGTGGCAAAATCACAGTTATGAAGTAGCAATGAAAATGTTATGGTTGGGGATCGAGACCACACGAGGAACTGTATGAAGGGGTCACGGTATTGGGAAGGTTGAGAAACACTGCTCTACTGCGTAGAAACACCCCAGTCCTGGGCCAATGGGAGAGAGGAGCAGGCGCTGCGGGTGCTACTTACTGCTCTGGTCTCGTAGAGCACCAGCTTTTGCACAGAGCTGATGATGGGGGCCGCCGTCGGCATGGCAACCCCAGGGGAAGGGGCTGAACCTGGCGCCAGGCCCTGGAGCCTGCCTCGCTCCCTCCTTCCGGGGAAGCCCGGGCCTTCCCAAACCTAAGGCTACGGCTCAGGGCCACAAGAGCCCCAAAGCCCTTTCCACTCCCCTCAAGACTCGCGGGAGACCCCAAGGAGTGACAGCACACTGGGCGCGGAACTTCCTCTCACGCACAAGACCCAAAAGAGGCCGCCCCCCCCATCCTGCGCAGGCGCAGTACAACGACACCCGAAAGGCCAACGCGAGGTTCACGTGACTGACGTTGATGCCACCGCGGCCATTTTGAGTTTGGGAATGGCGGCAGTACTGTGAGACATGTCTTAGGGGTGGCCCCGCTGCTAAGTACACTCCGTGTCATTGAAACAGCTGTCAGCCAAAGTAATGTCCACACAGCAGGTGGACATCCCAATAAATGCCATGTCTTAATGCTATGGGATTCTGGGATTTGTGGTTTTGTGAGGTTTACTCTTCTCTGTCATAGAATCCTAGTGAGATCCAGTGGGACATCCAGTTGAACCCCCGCCAAGAAGCAGGGAAATTGCATTCAAAGCATCCCTGACAGATGGCCATCCAGCCTCTGCTTAAAAGCCTCCAAAGAAGGAGCCTCCACCACACTCTCGGGCAGAGAGTTCCACTGTTGAACAGCTCTCAGAGTCAGGAAGTTCTTCCTAAAGTTCAGGTGGAATCTCCTTTTCCTGTAGTTTGAAGCCATTGTTTTAATCTTTTGTGTATTTATGGTTTTATATTGTTGTTAAATTGTGATATTTGCGGCATCGAATTGTTGAGTCCCCCCTCGGGGGTTGAAAAGGGCAGGGTAGAAATGTTGTAAATAAATAAATTGTAAATAAATTATTATTATTATTATTGTTATTATTAACTTCATTTATACCCCACAAAATCTCCCGAAGGACTCGATGCGGCTTACAAAGGCCAAGGCCGCCAACAACCAACAACATACAATACACAATAAACTCATAAGCAAATAATAAATTGTAAATAAATAAATTGTTCCACGTCCTAGTCTCTAGGGCAGCAGAAAACAAGCTTTCTCCCTCCTCCCTCTGACTTCCCCTCACATGTTTATACTTGGCTCTCATCATGTCTCCTCTCAGCCTTCTCTTCTGTAAGCTAAACATGCCCAGCTCTTTAAGCCTCTCCTCATAGGGCTTGTTCTCCAGACCCTTGATCACTTTAGTCACCCTCCTCTGGACACATTCCAGCTTGTCAACATCTCCCTTGAATTGTGGTGCTCAGAACTGGACACAGTGAGAGTCCAGGTGTGGTCTGACCAAGGCAGAATGGGGGGGGGGGATGACTTCCCTGGATTTAGACACTATACTCCTATTGATGCAGACCAAAATCCCATTGGCTTTTTTAGTGGTGCCGAATCGCATTCATTCTACAGCTGGCCTGGGCAAACTTAGGTCCTCCCTCCAGGTGTTTTGGACTTCAACTCCCACCATTCCTAATAGGCACAGGCCCCTTCCTTTTCCCCCTGACCCTCTGAATTTTTATTATTACCATTATGATTCTTATTATTCTCTCCCTTTCAGTAGCAAACACCCCTCTTCCCCTCTAGCTGTTTAGTCAGGCACGGGACAGATTTTGCACGTGAGTCATCCTCGCGCACGGCGGCCCCGTTGATTGGATGAAGAGAATAGGGGCGGGCCCGAATGGGGCGGGGGGCGGTCTCCTAGGTGACGAGGAAACAGAAATCAGGGCGCCTCAGTGGCTGCCCTGTTCCTTCTTCCTTTGGCCCAACTTCTGTGGGTTTAAAGGGGAGCCTGGGGACCCGCTCAGGCCCACCACGCAGTAAGTGCTCCCTGGCTACCCCTGGCCTCCTTTTCACTGCCATTTGGACACTACTGCCAGAATGTGGGTTGAGTGGCACCTGATTACATTTGCCTTGATTCAGGATGGGCAAACTTAGGCCCTCTCTCCAGGTGTTTTGGACCGCAACTCCCACAATTCCTAACAGCCGGTAAGCTGTTAGGAATTGTGGGAGTTGAAGTCCAAAACACCTGGAGAGAGGGCCTAAGTTTGCCCATGCCTGATCTACATTGTAGACTTAATGCAACTTGACACCACTACTCAATTCTATGGAGTTCTGGGAGTTGTAGTTTTACATGCTATTTATCTCTCTCTGCCAAAGAGTACTGGTGCCTACCCAAACTACAACTCCCAGGATTCCATAGCATGGAGATATGGCAATTAAAGGGGCATTGAACTGTGTTAAATTTACAATTAAGAGAGATATTGACAAGCTGGAATGTGTCCAGAGGAGGGCGACTAAAATGATCAAGGGTCTGGAGCACAAGCCCTATGAGGAGCGGCTTAAGGAGCTGGGCATGTTTAGCCTGAAGAAGAGAAGGCTGAGAGGAGATATGATAGCCATGTATAAATATGTGAGAGGAAGCCACAGGGAGGAGGGAGCAAGCTTGTTTTCTGCTTCCCTGGAGACTAGGACGCGGAACAATGGCTTCAAACTACAAGAGAGGAGATTCCATCTGAACATAGGAAGAACTTCCTGACTGTGAGAGCCGTTCAGCAGTGGAACTCTCTGCCCCGAGTGTGGTGGAGGTTCCTTCTTTGGAAGCTTTTAAACAGAGGCTGGATGGCCATCTGTCAGGGGTGATTTGAATGCAATATTCCTGCTTCTTGGCAGGGGGTTGGACTGGATGGCCCATGAGGTCTCTTCCAACTCTTTGATTCTATTATTAGTGCAGGCATGGGCAAACTTTGGCCCTCCAGGTGTTTTGGACTTAAGCTCCCACAATTCCTAACAGCCGGTAGGAATTTAGGAATTGTGGGAGTTGTCCAAAACACCTGGAGGCAAAGTTTACCCATGCCTGCTTTAGTGCCCCATTGCTGGCACAGGCATGTAGCTGGGGGGGAGGGGGGGCTTGAGGGGCTTCAGCCCCCCCCCCCCAAAATTCTCAGGGTGATCGTGAGAAGGTCTTACTGGTACATTATTTAAACTGTTATGTTTATTCATATCATGATCTGATCACCATGCTCAATATATCCCATATGCATAGGTAGATCCTCAGCCCCCCCCCCCTTTGAATCAAACTCAGCTCCCCCCAAATCAAAATCCTGGCTACGGGCCTGCTAGAGGATAATTCTGTTATTCCGAGTTAAATTAATATATATTTGCCATTTGCAATACTCGACATGAGCTGTAAGGAAGGATCAGGAACATTTGGTTTCCCTAGGTTTGGATTACAACTCCCACAGGTTTTTATCCCCAACTGCAAACTTTCTGGGAGTTGTTCAAAAGTTCACAAAACAGGTCGGACAGAAGGCTGCACACCTCTGCTGTCAAGTTAAAACTGCATCTAGGCCACTTATTCCCAAACGTTGGTCCTCCAGATGTTTTGGACTTCAGTCCCCAGAAAACCTAGTTAATTTGGCCAACAATCAGGAGTTCTAGGAACTGACACCTGAGTCATCTGGAGAACCAAAATTGGGAACCACTGCTCTAGGCTGATCACCTTGGCTGCCTTTTGAAAGTTTATCCACATGTTTATTCACAGGTTTATCAATAATAATAATAATAATAATAATAATAATCCTTATTAATAATCCCACCACCATCTCCCTGAAGGGACGTGGAGCAGCTCACAAAAGCACTCCAAGTAAATAATAAATAAATAAGCACTCCAAGTAAATAAATCTGAGTAAATAATACCACAGACCCTTGATATCTGCTCGGGTTTTGTTCCATGAATACAAAAATCTATGGATGTTCAAGGGTCATTATATACAATGTCACAGAAAAAAGATGTGCCTTACATAAAACAGCAAAAACATTGGATTTTTTACAATGTTTCTAAGTCCTGGATGGTAGAATTCATGGACATGGAGGAGGAACAGCATAGATCAGGCATGGGCAAACTTTGGCCCTCCATGTGTTTTGGACTTCAGTTCCCACAATTCCTAGGAACTGCGGGAGTTAAAGTCCAAAACACTTGGAGGGCTGAAGTTTGCCCATGCCTGGCATACATAGTTGGCAGGTTCAGGCAGCATATGAGCAAACAAGCCCCTACGTGCAGAAGTTATTGTAACCTGAGTAAATAACAGTTTTTGCTTCCTAATATAGGTTTAATTATGACGTCTCAACAGGAGGAAAAGCCCTGCCCTCTTGTAGATATATATGATGAAGATGAAGCTGACCGAGTCTTTCTTCTATCAAAACCTACCTGTTTCGTCATCCTTGGAAAACCAGTAAGAGAAAGGATGGCCATTTTGACTATATTGACCCTGTAGACAATCCAGTTTGTGTATATGTGTTTATACTCAGAAAAAATGTTACCCTATTATGTTCAGTGAGGTTTATTTCTATGTAAGTGTGCATAAAGTCCCTCATAAGTACACATATTTGGAACAGAGTCCCATTGGCTATGGTATTTATTTATCGTGTGAGAAGCAAGTTGAGGGTACAGTTAATGTATTTTAAAAACACAAAGAAAGTTTAAAAACTTCACAGCTTTCAGCATTAGTAGTAGGGTCTCTTATGGGACCACATATTGTTAGGGAAATTAGCTGTAATGCTCATAATTTTTCTTCTTCTCATAGTTAATAACTAGGATTTTTGAAGTTTGAATGTTATGTTATTTAAATTTTAATTGCATACAACATTTTAAGTAGTATGCATTTTTCACAAGCAAAATTTCTGTCACTAATGAGTCTACAGACATTCAATCTCATTCTTTTTTTATAACAGACCTGATTACAAAGAAACTTACCATTAGTTTTACCTGGTTTACTCATGAATTTTAACTGGTTAACCAAATCCCCATGCTAAGTCTATGAGATGCAAAAAATTAAGAGTCCCTCCAGAACTGCAAGCACTTTCTCAGGCAAATACTGACAATTTATTCACACTGTCATTACTTGCAGCAATAGCCGATGTAGTGAAGCAACCAAGTTGT